CCTCTGCAGATCAGTATCACGTGGTAGAAAAGTCACTCGCACTCCGATGAGAATTTCGGTCAATGTTCATTATTGACAAAAGTGCACACGAAGCTTTCTCTAAAAAGATGCTTTGCGTTTGGGGGGCGTGGTCAGTAAGGTGTCCTCTTAACGTGTGAAGATGCACGCGATGCATGCTGACATGCAATACAAACATGACGTGTTTTTTTTTTTTTGTGATTTAAAGGAGAACTATGAGGGGGAGGGGCTTTTCCCTCACCTCATAGTTCTAGCCGACCTGTGACAATGAGACTGTCACACGTCGGCTCAGTAGATGGCGAAGTGAGCGAACGCATACCGTCGCTCGCTCGCTCACTTCTCGATCTATCCCTGCAGAGAGCCGAGACTCTCACTTACGGCTCCTTGCGTTACCCTAAGGAGAACTATGGGGGAAAGCCCTGACCCCATAGTTCTCCTTTAATGGTTGACTAGGAACATAAGTATAGCAATCTAACTAACGTCACACCTATTCATGACCTCTTAAGCTTGCGTCAAAGTTTCAGAAAATACTAGGGCAGGCAATGACTAAAATTTTCGTGTTCGATTAATCGAAATTGTTTTAAATCGATTAATCAATTAATTTTGATGAATTATAACGCACATACAGATCCAACTACATTGGCCTATACACATACAGCACAGCAATGAAGTAATAAAATGAACTAGGATCACACTAATCCAGCACGTTATAAACCTCACGTGCCCCACTCAATATGGCCACCGCTTGAGTGGGGCAACTCAGAATAATAACGTGCTGGATTACTGTGATCCTAGTTCATTTTATGACTTCATTGCTGTGCTGTATGTGTATAGGTCATTGCTGTGCTGTATGTGTATAGGCCAATGCCTTGGCTGGCGCTCGTGCAGAAAGTTTCTTGGGCAAACTCACCGGCCCAAGTGGCTCCGTCGGCTAACGAAGGGGGGGAGGAGTCTGGTGATGTCACGGACATAGACGTCACCGGACTCCTCCCCCCTTCCCTTCCTTAGCCGACGGAGCCACTTGGGGAAGGGGAGAGGAGATCTCCGACTGGACTCCTGGAAGCCGGCGGAGAGGTGAGTGTTTTCATTAGCGATCAAAAGAAATGTAAAGGGGGGGGGTGTGTTTTCATTAGCGATCAAAATAATTTTAAAATCGATCAAAAAGTTTAACGATTAAAATGGAGAAATGAATCTTTAATTTTCACAGCCCTAGAAAATAACAAGAATAAATGACGAGAGGGAGCGCAACATTCAGACACTGAAGAGAAGCGTGTCCACAGTACAAAGTTCACAGTACAAGTATACTCTACAAACCAAAACAAAATATGGAATTTTCAGTTAAATATGATAATCAATATCAACCGTAGCAAATGTAAAAATGATGCATCATGTATAATGCTCAGGGCTTGAAAAATCCGCTGGTCTGTGACGAGAGGAAGGCGGAGCCAGACGAGCAGCTTCCCGGCCGGCCGTTGTAATTACACGGCCGGCCTGGGAGCTTTACAGTCACGCGATCGGGGCGTCTCTAGAGACGCAAGACCGCTTGTATAGGAGCAGCTGTCGCTGCCTTACCGGTCCCGAGATGCCGGGACCGGCACGGCTGCTCTGTGACAGGAGATCGGTACACAATCTCCCTCTGATCTCCTCTCTGGTCCCCGAATGCAGGAAGTCAATTACATCGCTTCCGCATTCAGCTTTCGCTCTCTCCAGCTTGAGAAGCTGGTGAAGCCGATTTCGGCTTCTCTGGGGGGTCCCCGGGTGACATAAGGGGTCTTGGAGACCCCTGATGTCTCCATAAAGAGGACCTGTCATGTAAATTGATAGGGGGATTCTTAGCCCCTTATATGATAGCATTAAAGTTGTGTAAAAAAAAAAGTAATAAAATAAAAGAAGCATAAGTAAAAAAAAAAAAAAACACATTTTTTTTTAAAAGTCCCCCGCCCCCCACATACACACGCAAACATGCGAAAATGACGATTGCGCCTATTGTGCCGCACATGTTACATATGACCGTCGGAGTGCGGGCAATCATTTTCGGGCCGTTAATCACCGATAACACTAAACTGATAAACAATAAAAGCGTTTAAAGCGTCGCCCAAGCACAATTTTCACTGTGGTGATTTTTTTTTTGCGATTTTGCGGCCGCGCGCAATTTTAAGGCTCGACATGTTTGGTGTCTATTTACCCGACGTGACCCCGACTTTTATATTTTACCAAAAAATATGGGTAAGAATAAATGTTTTATAAAGTGAGACACCCAAACATTTTTCAAGCCCTGATAATGCATTATTACATCATCGGTCTATCTCAGTATTCAACAAAATTATTTCAAAAATACCAACAATTGTTATAAGATGAGGAACTTGAAAGTGACTATGAACAGTAAGACAAATACTCTTTTAGTTGCTTTGTAATAAAAAAAATAAACGCGTCTTGCTGTGCGAAAGCTTGGCGAGATGGAGATGAAAAACAGCTGAAATAGTCGATGTAAATGTTGCGACTTATTAACCACAAAAAGAGAAAAAACAAAAAACGAAAAAAAAAAAACTTTCCAATTACGCCAGAAGTAGGTTTTTCTCACACACACTCCGAAACATCTTAAAAAGGAGAACTACGAGGCGAGTGATTTTCACTCAGCCTCATAATCTGAGCCGACCTGTGACAATGAGACTGTCACAGGTCGGCTCAGTAGAACGGGAAGTGAGCGGACACATGCCGTCGCTCGCTCACTTCTAGGTCTCGTTCACACCTAGGCGTATTGTATATGCGCGACCGTCGCACGTCTTTTTACTGCGATTCGCGGTAAAAAAAGTTGCGCTACCGTCGCGCGTTTCCGAAGGCTACTTGGCTGTATCCCAATGGAAACGCGCAACAAAACGGCCCAAAGTAGTACCTGTACCTTTTCAGGCGTGGGCCCTTTTGTAGCGCGTTAGGGACGGGGCGGAAATACGCCAAGGTGGGAACGAGATCATTGAATACAATGGGATTTATATTTTTGAGCGTTTTGTAGAACATTCGTCGAGCGTAGAACGCGCTACAAAACGTTCAGGTGTGAACGAGGGCTAAGCTTGCGTCAAAGTTTCAGAAAACAACAAAAATAAATGACGAGAGGGAGCGCAACATTCAGACACTGAAGAGAAGCGTGTTCACAGTACAAGTATACTCTACAAACCAAAACAAATATGGAATTTTCAGTCAATGTGATAATATCAACCGTAAATAAAGTGTAAAAATGAAGTGTAAAGTAGAATGTATTATGACATCATCGGCTTATCTCAGAATTCTCAACAAGATTAATTTGAAACACCAACAATTGTTATAAGATGAGGGACTTGAAACTGACTATGAACAGTAAGACAAATACTCTTTTAGTTGCTTTGTAATAAAAAAAATAAACGCGTCTTGCTGTGCGAAAGCTTGGCGAGATGGAGATGAAAAACAGCTGAAATAGTCGATTTAAATGTTGCGACTTATTAACCACAAAAAGAGAAAAAATAAAACTTTCCAATTACGCCAGAAGTAGGTTTTTCTCACACATACTCCGAAACATCATAACAATAGCCGGTCTGGTCAACAACTATCATAAAACAATTTTCTTCACAGGTCTCTAGTTCAGGGGTGTGGAATTGCTATCGCCCGGCGCCCGGGACAGGCAGTTTCGGGCGCCGGGCGAGTTGTTTTTTTTTTTTTTGTACATTCAGCCCCGGCTGCGGATGAGCAGAGCTGAATGTGCAGCGTGGGGCCGCCGCTTGTTTTCATACAGGTGATCCGATCAGATCGCTTGTATGAAAAGGAGCGGCGGCAATCGTGTCCCCCGCTGCTCCTCCTCGCACATTGCAAGCACTCATTGGTGTCAGTGTGGTCAGGTGACCACGCTGACCAATGAGAAGCGCTATTTATCACAGTCAAATACAGCTGTTTTTTTTTAAACATATTTTATTACATTTTTTTCAATGTCTCCAAGGATTTCTCATACAAAGTATTCACAAAGAGATATAGATATCCAAAACAATATAATCAAATACCATAAGTCCATTTCCCAGGACCGACATATAGAAACCCCCTGAACCCCCGTAAATACAGTTTTGATTAGGGATGCACCAATGCAGAGTACTTGTACTCGCCCAAATGCTCCAACGCCTTCCCCGATACTGGAACCTCCGGTCAGCGGACGATTTCCTCTGACCGGCAGTGCCGTAGGGGGAACATGGAGCCGGCTTCCCATGCAATCAGGACAGCGACTAATGATCCGCCTCCCGATTTCCTGATTGGCCGGGTCGATGTTCAAAAAGCAGGGCAGCGACTAATGACCCGCCTCCCAATTTCCTGATTGGCCAGGAAGCCAGCTCCTCGCTGAGCCGGCCAATCAGGAAACCGGAAGGCAGGGTCATTAGTCGCTGCCCTGCTTTCTGAACATAGAGCCGGCTTCCCGGCCAATCAGGAAACCGGGAGGCGGGGTCATCATTAGTCGCTGCCCTGCTTTCTAAACATAGAGCCGAACATCGAGCCGGCTTCCCAGCCAATCGGGTCATTACTCGCCGCTACGTTTTCCCGATTGGCTGGGAAGCCGTTTTCCCGATTGGCTGGGAAGCCGTTTTCCCGGCCAATCGCAATCAAGCCGGCCAAAAAACATGGTGTCGGCTTCCCTGGCAATCAGGAAGCTGGGTAGCATGTAATTACCCGCTGCCCAGCTCCCTGATTGCCCGGGAAGCCTGCTGCATGCCAACTGGCACGGCGAGTACCAAAAAGCAAAGTATCAGTACTCGATACCCAAAGACCTATACGGGTGCATCCTCAGTCTTGATTACAAACTATTTTTTATGTATTGGGACAAGTAGATTCGGCCCCCGCTTTAGCCCCTGGACAAGTAGTTTTGTTTTTAATTTCCACACCCCTGTAGTTTCACCAATGCATTGGGGGAGAGGGGGAGGAGTCAATTTCCACCATGACTCTCGCTTCATGCTGCATTTGTTACTCATTTGTTTCACAGTTTGATCTTGAATGCGGTCGGGTTGACCGCCGCAGAGGAGCCTGAAGATTTAAAGAGCGCCTTCAGGATGGTTTCCGGATCAACTTCGGCCACCGGGTTGGAAGTGCTGGAGGAGGAAGAATTCCTTTTCATCTCCGCGTTCTTCTTCGCGGACGACGAAGACGACGGCGTATCGCTTAATCGCAACAAGATGGGCTGATCGGAAGTGATCACGGCGCCATTCATATGCAGATTACATTTCATCGGCTGTCCATCCAAGTATCTGTTGTTGTACTTCTTATAGGCACCGACGGCATCCTCCTTTCTTACAAACACCACTTCGGCAACGCCGGGGCTTAACAGGCGGGCGCGTTTCAGGGCCCCGCACGCGCAGAACAGCTCCACGATATCCTCCTCGGTGACTTTTGGGTGCAGATTGTTCACGGTCATCTTCGTGCCTTCCAGGGGGCTGCAAGCGGGCTCTGTTTTTGGAACGGGCTGCAAAGGCGGGGCTGCGTTGGCGACAAGCGTGCGCGACACGCCGCTGAAGGTTTTCGTACTCTGCGAAGGTGCCGGGGCCGCAGCGACAGGAACTGTGTAAGCATCATTGTGCACCACTTTGGTGAGAGGTAACGACATCCTGGTCTGTCCCTTCTGTGTATAAGCGGCTGTAAACTTTATTTGTTTCATAGGAATATGACCGGATTCCTCGTCCTCTTCATCGCTCACATCTTGCTGTGGAGAGATCTGTGTGACTGGGGGTTGGGTGACAACATTTATTCTCATTCCTTTCATGGGGCGAGTGACAACTGCGTGGCTTGATTTCTCTTGTAGGATCTGGATTGTCTTGGTGATGTTTATTCCGGAAGAGGCCGAAAAATTTGGCAGTTTGTCAGCCACCGCTGGTCCACGCCTCTTAAGACTTATCTTTTCCCGTGCGTCCATCATTTTAGCAGGGTTGTCACCCAACGGCACCTGTTGCTTCCTGGAATTCAGCATTTGCCGGGCATCCTGCTGCAATTTACCCTTTATGCGGAAGCGAGCGTCTTTGGCTCTCAGTTTTTCTCTAGCATCTCTTACTCCTAGTTTCAGACGGGCATCCATGACGATTTTCTGTCGGGCATCAACAGTTCTCCGGCGACGAGTGGACGATCCCTTCACTGAAGGCTGCGATTCGAATCTCACGGTTACTGTGCTACTAACGCGATGCAGCAAGAATCTTTAAACCAGTGTTTACATTCAACAGCTGTCCCATTCAAGGTAATGATCATGTGACAGCTGCTGCATGTAAACGCCGGCACACCGCATGTAATTGTGAGTGATACGATTACATGCGGTTAGGAATCAATCACTCTGCCTGGATGCACGACAAATGGGTCCAGGGAGAGTGATTGATTCCTAACCACATGTAATCGTATCACTCACAATTTCATGCCGTGTGCCGGCGTTTACATGCAGCGGCTGTCACATGATCATTACCTTGAATGGGACAGCTGTTGAATGTAAACACTGGTTTAAAGATTCTTGCTGCAGGAAAATGCAAATTACTGGCACAGATCTCCCTAATCACACCTAAAGTTACAGGGGTGAATGGGGCCTAATAGATTAAGGAGTCCTCCGCACACCTTGCAGCAGTCCAAGCCTATACAAAAAGGATGGTGCTTGCAGTGATAGTCACAGATGGCAGCGTGCAAATACAATGTAGGAACAGAAATCAGCAGCACTCTGAAAAATAATCCAGCATGTCCATTTATTGGACATAGACGTCACAACAAACAAGAGCCAACGTTTCAAGACCACACAGGGCCTCTTCCTCGGGGGAAAAAAGACATGACCCTGGGGGCCTAACACACGCCCACGCCCATCACTAGTCTCTATCTTTATATCTATAACTAGGAAAACCAGTTTGGGCTTTACACACGTGCCCGAGCCCGCCAGGAAGCTGACAGCGCGCAACGCCAATCACAGGTACCTGGTCCGCACCTGCAGAGAGCGGGAACTGTCTCAGTACCTGTGATTGCCGCTGCGGCGCTGTCAGCTTTCTGGGGGGCTCGGCACGTGGAGCTGCAAACCCGCCCGAGCCTATCACTAATGGCTATTAGGCAATTATGTTAATAAATATGGTATATTAGTGTTTGTTTCAAAATAAATTAAAAACAGTAGTGGAAGCACTGGCAGAACTACCAGGGTCGCAGCAACGACCGGGCCCTGGCGTTCCGCCACTTGGGGGGGGGCGGCCCCAGCGAGGAAGAAGAGGGCCCCCCGATATAGTGCCGCTCCTTCCCTGCCGCACAGCCACCCGCAGCATGTACGGGCGGCTGTGTGGTAGGGATGGGGAGACTGTCACTGGTCCCGCAGAATGTGCTGCAGGCACCACCGGGCAGCACATTCTGCTGTGTGAGGACCCTCTCCTCTTAGCCCCGCCCCCTGGCTGCCGGGACGAGGAAGAGGGCCCTGCAGTAGAGGAAAGGTAAGTCTGGAGTGGGAAGGGAGGAATGCTGGTAATATTCTGCAGTGCTGACTTTTAGTAATCCATCATTCAGTGCCATCCGTCATTCACTGCCATCCATCATTCAGTGCCATCCATCATTTACTGCCATCCATCATTCACTGCCATGGATGGTATATTATTAACAGTCACATCGCTATTGAAACCCCGCCTACTGAACAGAGGCGCGGCCCTGAGAAAGTTCTCTCCCCGGTACGATCCTCTGCTTGGTGGGCGGGGTCTCAAAAGCCAGCCTGCTATAGGCTTTTGAAATTTTAACTAGGCCAATAGCAGGCTGGCTGTTTCTCACCATTGTTTACATTCTGCTGCCAACCACGAAATCTGCCCGTCTGCAAAATGTAAACAACGAATTTCGTTAGCAACTTAAAGGGGTTCTAAACCCTCCGTTTTTTTTTGCTTATATCTACTGCTAGCATGCAGTAGATATAAAGATCGGAAAAAGAGACATCATTTAAGGTAAGTGCTGACATTTACATGGGGGGGAGGGAAACATTTTTTGCCTTTAATGTCACTTTAAAGGAGAACTATGAGGTCGGGGGGGCGGGGGGGATGGGAGGTGCTTTTCACTCACCTCATATCATAGTTCTAGCCGACCTGTGACAATGAGACTGTCACAGGTCGGCTCAGTAGATCGGGAAGTGAGGGAACACATACCGGCGTTCGCTCACCTCTCGATCCTGTCACGGCTCTTTGCCGTGACAGGGGAGGGACTGGATTCCCCACTCCGATCCGCCAGCGCTGACTGGCGAAACGGACGGGGAGGGTACAGCTGGCTCTGCCTCTAGATAGGCGGAGCCAGCTGTCAGTCATGCAGCCGGGGCGGATCTAGACATAATTGTCGGGATCCGCTTCAGCTGCGGTGTCTCAGTTACAGCTCCCTATATACTGAGCTTAGGGTGACGGGAGGACGCTAGTTTGTGTCCCCCCGTTACCCTAAGGAGAACTATGGGGAAAAGCCCTGACCTCATAGTTCGCCTTTAATTTTAATTCCAAACAAAATTGTTAGTGCGCACCAAGCAACCGACCATTTTTCAAAGCATATCAACCGTCCGGCAAAAAAAAATAATTAAAATTATTACTATTTTTAGTGGTCATTTAGCGGGATGGGAACTAGCGCCTTCATAGTGATCTGTCTAGTTCCCATCCCCCCTATATGACCTGTACGGTAATAATGCAGAAAGGTCATTTGTGACCACTATAGGGGCAAAGGTTATTCTGTGGGATGGGATCTAGCCAGTTCACATTGAGCAAGCTAGTTCCCATGCTCAGAATTGACTAGGTGAATCTGCAGGATGGGGAACTAGTCGCAACCATTCATCTAACGACACGTCCGCCATGTTGTCATCCAAATAACACACACCCCTTTCATGACATGCGTTTTGATGCGCTTCCATTGATTTCAATGGAAAACGCATTGGGGGAGACACCGCATGGGTGTAAATAGGCCATTAAAAGACACAATTTTTATTATGTGCCTTGTTAACCCTCATACAAGTACATTGCATACACATGCAGCATGTCACCCCCCAGCCTGACCTGCCCCATCATCATCATCCACAAATGTACAAATTTATGGCCATGTGACCTCAGCAGAGATAAGCGAATAAAGGCGGAGTCACAGCATCACGTGTGTTTACAGAAGGTTTAGCCAGACCTGGCGAAGGGAGGGTTAATCACGTGGGTTCGGAGGCGGTGCCGCGTAGACTGGAGTGACAGTTGTTGGGTCCGCAGCCATGGTAACATGCGGAAGTGACGCAACACCCCCGGATCTGCGGCGCGTATTGGAGCTTGGAGCGGCGGTAATGTTCAATCTCCGGACTCAGTAATAGAGAGGAGAGACAAGGAAGGTGAGGAGGTGTACCGAGCGGGAGTGTCGGGGTGGCATTGGAGGGGTAGAAGGCTGTGGGCGCCTTGAGGTAGATAGGGTGGGGGGGGATTTGGGGCATCACTGGAGGGTGTTGGCATTTTGCAATAGTAAAGCATGAGGGCTCTGCGGGTGATACTGGTATGGGAGGAGGTGTCATCGAGCCACCACTCCAGTTTTTTTTAAATATGGGTGATTGTTTTAGGGTTCTGGTAATGTCATTGGTTGGCATTAGGGGTCCCGGGGCTGTTGCCGGTGGGGGTCCCGGGGCTGTTGCCGGTGGGGGTCCCGGGGCTGTTGCCGGTGGGGGTCCCGGGGCAGGGGGGTATCACTTATAGGTGTTGGGCTTCTTGAGGTGTCACTAGTTGGGATTGGTCTGAGGGTGTCACTAGTTGGGATTGGTCTGGGGGTGTCACTGGCAGTTGTTGGGGTTCTTGTTGTGTCGTTGCTCAGCGTTGGGTTTCCAGTGGTGGTCTTGAAGGGTATGTGGCTCTGGTTAGGCGGGCCCAGGAGGTGTCAGTACAGGTGGTGGGTCAGCAGCTGATAATCAATGAGCATCTTTGGGCTGGAAGAATACAGGTCAGTGTTGTGAATTTCACTCTCATTTCTCCTCCTGACAGATGTCTTTGCGGTACAGTCGCCCTCTGAGCGGCCGCCCCAGTCTGAAGAAAGCGACCACCAGGAAGAAGCCACTAGCGCGGCAGGCCTGGGATGTGAGTCTCCATCATCTGATACAGCCGCTCCATCTGCAGTTCAACCCCACAATCCACAATCATGCTGCACAGCCTAAAACTGGCTCTCTTTAAAGGAGAACTATGGGGTCAGGGCTTTTCCCCATAGTTCTCCGTAGGGTAACGGAGGACACAAACTAGCGTCCTCCCGTCACCCAAAGCTCAGTATATGGGGAGCTACAGCTCGCGGTATACTGAGACGCCGCAGCTGAAGCGGATCCCGACAATTATGTCTGGATCCTCCCAGCTGCGTGAGTGACAGCTGGCTCTGCCTATCTAGAGGCAGAGCCAGCTGTACCCGCCCCTCCCCCGTCTGTTCCGCCAGTCAGCGCTGGCGGAGCGGGGAGGGGGGAATGCAGCCCCTCCCCTGTCACAGCAGAGAGCCGTGACAGGATCGAGAGGTGAGGGAACGCCGGTATGTGTTCGCTCACCTCCCGATCTACTGAGCCGACCTGTGACAGTCTCATTGTCACACCTCAGCACTCACCTCATAGTTCTCCTTTAATGCAGACCTGCTCAGGCACACATACCGGCCTTCCATCCAGCCAACAGGAGAAAAAGGAGACACCTGTGTTGCTGGACATGTGGCTAACGCAGGGCTATGGACTCTTCTTTCAGAGCGCTGATTGGATCAGAACTGTCACATGTGTCAGTCACATGGCTCCTCCATACCTGGCAGTACCAGTTATGTTAGGACAGCGCTCCACTGTGATACCAAACCAGAGAAAATGCTGAAACCTCCTCACATCTCCTGTCTACACTCTCAGTACCTGTAGGCTAATGTCTGGCTGTATGTTCTCAATGACAGATCACTGTTTTGTGTTTTCAGAGCTCAGTTCAAGATCTCAATGTCCACCGGGCCACCCCAGAGGATCTGGTGAGTGATCGTAACATTCTTCATGGAGATTTAGTTTCATTAGCCAGCCCTGTGTCCACATATAAAACGTAACTAGAGATATACCGATACTAGTATTGGTATCAGTGCCAATACCGAGTATTTGGGTGAGTACTCGCACTCGCCCAAATGCTCCGATACCGGAACTTCCGGTATCAGGAAGCCGAGCAGCGAGTCATTACATGCTGCCCGGCATCCTGATTGGCCGGGAAGCTGGCTCTATGCTCCCTCGTCAGCATGGAGCCGGTCAATCAGGGGGCCGGTAATGACTCGCCCCCAAGCTTCCCGATTGGCCGGGAAGCTGGCTCCATGGTCCCTCGTCAGCGTGGAGCCAGCTTCTCCGCCAAAATCAGGAAGCTATGCGCCGTGTAATGACTCGCCGCCTGGCTTCCTGATTGGTCGAGAAGCTGGCCTATCAGGAAACCAGGTGGTGACCCATTGTCTGGCCCCGGCTTCCTGATTGGCCAGAAAGCCGGCTCCATGCTTCCTTGTCACCTGATGACGAGGGAGCATAGAGACGGCTTCCCTGCTAATCAGGAAGCCGGGGGGCAGATAACGGCTCACGGCCTGGCTTCCTGATAGGCCAGCTTCTCGACCAATCAGGAAGCCAGGTGGCGAGTCATTACATGCTACCTGGTTTCCTTAATGGGACTTCCGTTGTCGGTATTCTGTATCAGCGAGTACCAGAAAAAAAAAAATCGCTACTCGATAACGTTATTGGTGCATCCCTAGTTATAACTATTACATATCAAGTTTAAGCTAAAGTGTAATGTAAGTATATTATACCTTCTGTTCTTGATCAACCTGCAGGTAAAATTTTAATCAAAACATTTTTGTTTTGATAAATACCTATTTTTGAGACCCAGTGATGTCATTTTCTGCCTTGAAACTTCAAAAGCTTTATATGAAAGAACGGCATACCTTTAGCTGTGCCTGCTTCTCCCTGCTGGCCACTGGAAGCTGCAGACTCTAGCTGCAATGTCTGCTGATTGTTTGGCTGGTTGCAGGCACATCTAAAGGGTAAGTATGCCCCTGGGGGGTGGTGGTGGGGGAGAGTTTCATCTATCTGCTTATATTTCTACTTCAGGCAGTGTGTATTTGAATGCATTCCTGTCTGTTTTTAGGCCCACAGACACGAGATACACAAATCCAAAAATCAGCGGCTAGCGCAGTGGGAACTTCAGAAGAATGTTTTTAAAAAGAAGTGGAGAAAACAAAATGGAGGCGCTGCAGACCCGATGGAGGATAGAAGGCTGGCCTTGATGATGGAGGTATTGGAAGAGTATTTGCATGATGTTTAAAAAGACCCAATTTCTTCTTCTCTACAGTCTGGAGGAGAGAGACACTGACCGACGCTGGAGGGGGAGCAGGAGAGAGACACTGACCGAAGCTGGGGGGGGGGAGCAGGAGAGAGACACTGACCGACGCTGGGGGGGAGCAGGAGAGAGACACTGACCGACGCTGGGGGGGAGCAGGAGAGAGACACTGACCGACGCTGGGGGGGAGCAGGAGAGAGACACTGACCGACGCTGGGGGGGAGCAGGAGAGAGACACTGACCGACGCTGGGGGGGAGCAGGAGAGAGACACTGACCGACGCTGGGGGGGAGCAGGAGAGAGACACTGACCGACGCTGGGGGGGAGCAGGAGAGAGACACTGACCGACGCTGGGGGGGAGCAGGAGAGAGACACTGACCGACGCTGGGGGGGAGCAGGAGAGAGACACTGACCGACGCTGGGGGGGAGCAGGAGAGAGACACTGACCGACGCTGGGGGGGAGCAGGAGAGAGACACTGACCGACGCTGGGGGGGAGCAGGAGAGAGACACTGACCGACGCTGGGGGGGAGCAGGAGAGAGACACTGACCGACGCTGGGGGGGAGCAGGAGAGAGACACTGACCGACGCTGGGGGGGAGCAGGAGAGAGACACTGACCGACGCTGGGGGGGAGCAGGAGAGAGACACTGACCGACGCTGGGGGGGAGCAGGAGAGAGACACTGACCGACGCTGGGGGGGAGCAGGAGAGAGACACTGACCGACGCTGGGGGGGAGCAGGAGAGAGACACTGACCGACGCTGGGGGGGAGCAGGAGAGAGACACTGACCGACGCTGGGGGGGAGCAGGAGAGAGACACTGACCGACGCTGGGGGGGAGCAGGAGAGAGACACTGACCGACGCTGGGGGGGAGCAGGAGAGAGACACTGACCGACGCTGGGGGGGAGCAGGAGAGAGACACTGACCGAAGCTGGGGGGGGGGAGCAGGAGAGAGACACCGACCGACGCTGGAGGGGGGAAGGAGGAGAGAGACACAGAACCTTGAGGGAGAGACCGGCCGATGCTGGGAATGGAGGGGGAGGAGGAGGAGGTACCCTGTATGACCCAAAGACTATGCCTCCCCCTAGTGTATCTGCAGAGGAACTTCAATACAACGTGGCCGATGGAAATGAGATCTCCTCGCGTATCACGGCTTCAGACGCTTCATGTTTTCGATGAAGTGACATAGATTTGACTATTTCTCTGACATAATTTTTGGATGGCAGGAAGTTTTGTTAGTTCGGACAGTTACATCCAAGCCTTGTAGTTCAGGTGTATATTTATTACGTGTGATTTTGTTTTTCCTCTTTGTCAGATTCTTTGCGATCAGTATCAGATGAAGGATGTCCTGGAGCGATCAGACCGCACAATGGCCGAGGTGAAGGACATTTTCGGGGACGCCCCCCGCAGGCACACAGGTGACACTGAGACATTCCATGATATTCAAGTAATCTGAATTTATACGACTAATTTAATTTTTTTATTTAAATTGTACTTCCCATCTTAAAATGTGTCTGGATAGTCCCTGGGCCAATGCCACTTGGAAGAGCCAGCAGCGTGGCACCAATGATCTTTTTAGTGTGTGTAAGGGTGGCATTCTGATCACCACTGTAAGGGGCGAATGCCTTACAGTGATAGAATTATTTTAAAACCGAAACAAAAAAAATTGTCAGGCCGAAAACCGAAAAAAATATTAGGGGTCTGCACAGACCCCTGATATTTCCCTTTTAAAGTAGAAAAAGATTGAGGACACAGAGTCCTCCAATCTCTTTTTATGTATCCCTTGTTATCAATGAACAGGAATCCTCTATACTGAGTGTTCCTGTTCATACATAACATGAGGACAGAGTATGTTTACTATATCCACAACTATGAATGGACAGGAGGGGATATAGATCACTTCCCATTCATTCATAATTGAAGATATAGTACACATACCATGTCCTCAATTATCTACAAACACTCAGCGATCACTGATCACTGACTGCTTGTACCCGCTCTCCTCTCTGACACGCTGTCACAGGAGGCTGAGCGGGGCGGTGCAGGGAGGAGAGCTCAGCCTCCTG